GCGCACAGGTGGGTGTGTTGGGGATCAACACCTGCGAGGTCTGCAGGCCTCCAAAGGCAGAGGTGCTATGTTCATTTTCTCTTTGCTCACCTTAGTCACAGACTGGAAACTTTCAACCTCTAGTAGAAGCTCTAGGGTCCTCCAAGGCCTCATGGCCTCTGGAATTTCTGCATCACCAAAGTTATCAACTCCCCAGGCATGGGTGGCAGAGCAAGCTCCTCCTATTACTCAATTCTGACTTCTACCTATTAAGCAGGGGCTCCTTGAGGAAGATTGATTTACCACATTAAACGAGCCTCCATGTGCTCGATGAGGATGTCACAAGACAAACGGCTCCTGCCGTGTGTCTCCGGCCCACCACCCCATGTTTCCATTACATTTGGGCCAGAGTCATGGTGGATGAGTTTGGATGTAGTTCATTTTCTGCCTTACACGATAAACTTGTCAGCGTCTGACCGATCAGCTGCTTGTATGCAGGGAGTTCATTTGCAAGGCCACCTGGCATCCTGGCTCTGCTATCCTGCTCCCATTTCACTCTGTTTAATGAGCCAGGACCTGGTTCCTGTTGAGTGGTGGTGAGCTCCGGGGTCCTGCTCAACCTGCATGCAATGATGGTTCAGCCCTTCCACAGGGGTTCCTCTGTCTCGCCTGGAGGTGCCTGGGGCACTGATGCCCAGGGACCTGTCCTTTTACGCCACCAGCTTCAAGTTACCCAGCTGAAAAGGAGGGTGCCCAACCCTCACTCTTCTGCCCAGCGGCTGCATCAGGCCTGCTCCCCAGGCTCTGAGCTGGACAGGCCTGCCTTGGGCTTCCCGGGGAGCTGCAGCCTGCCTACTCTACACTGCCCTTGGGGCTGTTTCATAGGCAGATACCAAGCCTGGGCTCCCAGAGCTCACTGAGACACAGGCCAACGTGTAGAGCATTGGGGCTGCCCGTGGTCCCCAGGCCCAGGCCCTCCCAAGTGGCTAGGCATCACTGACAAGCTCCACTCACCAGCCTGGGTGTCTGCTGCCCAGCCTCAGAGCCTTTTCCAGCACTGTTACTTCCTTCCTGATGTGTTCCTTCCTTCCTCTCCACCTATTTTGAATCAGACCCAGGCCTGGCCAAGGCCTCTCTACGCTCTGAAGTCACCAGCCAGCCTGAGCCCAGGGACCCCCAGAAGAACACATAGTGCAGGGCCGGGCACCATGGCTGTTGGCAGGGGCTCCAATAGGAGCCGGGGTGAGGGAGTTTTGCAGAGGGTAAGCAATCCCTTTCCTGTCTCCCTCTCTCCTCCATCCCTTTCATCCTACGAAACTCCTTGCCACAAAGGTAGTAGTTTCCTGTCTTCCAAAGAGCCTGGAAGGGCTCTCTCTCTGAGCTATGCCCACAGATCTCAGCCTCACCTGTCCATGCACACTCAATTCCACTGCCAGGCATGGATGCTTCCTGTGCCTACCTAAGCCAGGGAGCCAGGCCCTGCTCTCTGTGAGCTCAAAGCTTGAGAGGAGGCGGCCAGGTCAGATTTTAGGGCTGGATGGTCAGTGGCTGGGTCTGGGGCAGCTACAGGGTCCCACATGGTGAGGTCACGCCTTGTGCGGTAGGAGGCAGTGGGTGTGGAGGTAACTGGTTCGGCGCTAGCTCAGGCTCTGTGTGAGGCCAGCCTGGTGGAGCAAGCAGTGGCTCCTCATCTGCCCTGAGAAGGCTCCCGAGCCAGCATGTTACCAGGGCAAGGCGTTCAGGGTGGGGCAGGAGCCCTCTGGGTTGCTCTCACCCACATGGGACGCAGGGCCCACACTGTGATAGAGTTTGGGATCTCCGGAGCATTTGATGAGTAGAGCTTTGATAGGCAGAGGAGGAGAAGGGCTCCCACCCAGGGGGCAGGCTGCATGATCTGAGGGGATGGATGTGCACAGGTATCCAAGAGCGGCAGGAGCTCCTGTGAGGTCCATGATAGGATTCCGGGGAGATGACCGAGTGGGGCAGCATAGTCTAGCCATGGAGTCCGGAGGGCCGTGTTGAGAAGTTTGGATTCTATCTTGTGGGCAGTTGAAGTTGACTCAAGTTGAAGAGGGTGAAGTGATGACTGTGCCACATTTAAGGGAGGAGGAACAGGAGTTTCCCACCTCCCTGCACCCACACTGTCCACCACAATGAAGTCTCATTGAACGTTCAATCCCCAGGGCTTGGACCAAAGCCTGGAAGGTGATCAGAGGAGGCAGGAAAGTCCAAGAGGCCAGGTGGAAGGTGATGAGTCACTCTGGACTCATAGGGATCAAGAAGAATCTTGAACACAGAGGGCTCCCCTAATCCATATTCCAGACAAATTGGGGAGGGAGGGAGACCCAAGGAGGGGCTGGCTTGCTGGCCAGCCTCATTCCAGAGTGGAAGGCCAGCATGAGAGACTTCTCCTTCCTCCAGGATGTGCAAGAGGAAGGAGGAAGATGATAAGGACCACAGTCTCCTTTCACTGGTGGACATCTGTGGACACCTCTCGTGAACCTGGAGAATTCACCCCGCCAGAGCAGGGACTGCTCAAGTGGCCTTAGCATCTGTGTGCCCAGGAGGTGCTGAGGAGCTCCAGGGAAGGGTCTCAAGTGTTGCCTCACTTGAGGCTGCCTGTGCCGGGGGCAGGGAGCAGCCCAGAGAGCCCAGGATGAGGCCAAGAGGAGGGAGGAGCAGACGGGACTTCCTCGATGGCCCCTCCAGGCCCGTAGCTGGACAGAGGAAAGGACAGGCAAGTTCCAGACATTGTCCTCAGCGGCAGGGTCAGCTGTGGATTCGGCTGCCCCCTGACTGGGGAAGGCACTGCTGTGCCTGGCTCTACCCGCGGGCAGGACCTGGCTGGTGAACGGAGGCTGCGGGGAGATCTGAGCCTCAGGGTGTGGAAGTCACACCTACTCCCACACATTCCCTGGACATCAGGAAGGCGTTTTCCAGATGACTGTGACACACGATGGGCATATTTCTTGGCTTAAGGCTCTGGAAAGAAAGAAGGCTCCAGACCTGCGGGCTGGGGTAGGATGGGGGGTAGGTTCTGAAAAGAGGAGTTCAGACTTAGCAGTCCTTGCAGTTCCAAAGGGAGGGGGAAGAGCCTGGGTGGAGAGGAGCAAGTGGCCGCAGAAGCAGAGGGCTGCACACCCGGGCTCAGAATCAGGGAGCACAGGACGGCCAGTACCCAGGACCAGGGCTGCCCAAAGGTCTGCCCTTATGCTAGGACAGGAGGGAGCTGGGAGGTGACTCAACCAACTGCCTTTTTGGAGGGATCTTCAGCCCCCAGAATGTTTCTATCTGACATAGAGAATAGCATTCTGGACAGGGACCTTAAATATCTACAGAGACAGAAGAGTTAAATAAATGAGAAGACCGTGGAGAACCAAGGGCACAGCTTCTCAACTCCATCTCATCCCTGCAGTGTGAGGATGTGAATTCAGTGCAACTAAATGGTATAAGATTAGTATTAGAATTGGTCACATGTGACCGAAAACCCAAAATATTAGTATCTTAAAGAAAACAGAGGTTTCTCTCTCTCATATATACCAAAACCGAGCCTTCCAGAGCTGATAGATGGTTAGAATTCTTCCATCTCACTCTGAGGATGTGGCCTGCATCCTCCTGGCCCAGAATGGAAGCTAAGGCTCTGGCCATCACACCTGTGATCCAGGCAATAGGAGAGAGGAAGGTGGAAAAATGAGCAAAGAGAATGTGCTAACTGTATTTAAGGAGGTTTCTTGAAAGCTGTCAGATAGTGTTTCTAGATTTTTGTTGGCAGAACTGACACATGATTTCCCCCAGCTGTAAGAGAAGCTGGAAAATGTAGCTTTAGTTCTGCTCATCTATATGCCAAGCTACAAACCAGGCATTCTATGACTGAAGTGGGTGTGGATATTAGAATATGCCATGTAATGCTCCTTTGCCTCCAAATAACACATACCCCATCTTCTCATGCATGGAACACACTGGGACTGGGGGAAGGGTGTAACCGTGCACTCCATATAGCCCAGGGGTCAGGATGCCTGGGCGATGGCAGCCCTCACCATCGGGTCCTGATGCCCCACCGCCTATGTGGGATGGTGCAGAAATAACACAGTCACCACAGTAGAGACTCCTGATTGGGAGAAAAGGTATATGGCCCCACAGTCGTGGCAGCTGTGGCCACAGTCAGGTCCCACTGGGCAGGCTTTGCAAACCTTCTTGCGCTCAGGAGAGGAAGCTGCATGGGGCAGCCCATCTGGCTAGCCCAGCTCTACTTTAGAGAAAATTCCATGCCCACTGTCTCCTGTGGAGAAGTCAGACTCTCAGTGACATGTCTTTTGTACAACTCTTAGACCTTTAGTGTATTTGTCCTGATGAACTCTACATGCCTGAAACTGCCCCAGTGGGCTCATCTGGCTACAGATTCAGGGGCAGACTGGCCCTTCCACCTGCCCTTTGCATAGAAACAACAGCTGGGGTGAGGGGGGACCTGGGAGAGCAACACCCTCACTTCCTTACTTCTAATTTTCATGTGAAATTGACTAAAACTTTTTGGCAACTAATGTTTGAAAACCACAATTCAGGACAGATGAACTTGCCTATGTGCCAGACGTGTGAGTAATGGGGACACTGGGTGGGGAAATTGGGACTCCTCTAAGGGGGCCGTTGGATGGGGGAATTGGGGCTTCTCTGACACAAGCTTGCCCGAGAGTCTAATGCATCTGGGGAAGACCCCATACCACCCCCTTCATCTTGGCGGGCAGGACTAGTGACTGCACATCTTGGGGCGGAACTGGCTACAGCTGGAGAGCAGGACTCTTACAGGAACCCTGGGGGTGTGTCAGCCCCCAGGGTTAGCACAGAAGCTCAGGACAGTAACCTGGACTTACCAGCTCACCCCCTGGAGTACAGGTGAGGGGGTTCAGGATTGGCTCAAGGTCTGGGTGTCCATATATGTATCTGCCTATGGTGTGGGTTCTGCAGAAGGGACCCCAGGCCCAGGGCTGGGCAGGTGCTAAGTCAAGCCGTGCTGGCCCGCCCTGCAGACTCCACCAACCGGGACTCTCTGGATATGATCGAGCGCTGCATCTGCCTGGTGTGCCTGGATGCCCCCGGAGGCATGGAGCTCAGTGACACCAACCGGGCGCTCCAACTCCTCCACGGCGGAGGCTGCAGCAAGAACGGGGCCAACCGCTGGTACGACAAGTCCCTGCAGGTAAGCCTCCCCATGGCATGGCCAGTGGCCTGAGTCACCTCATGCTCACGTCCAGCAGGCTCACTCCGTGGCCTCTGCTGCCCACCCAGGATGCTGCATCTGGGGCCAGGGAAACCGAGGAGATGTGCTATTCGAGTTGGCCCCTGGACTGGCCAGAACTCTTCTCAGGAGCAAGTGGCCAAATGTAGCGCTAACTCTCTAACTTTCCTGCAGCCTGTGCTCAGCCTAGGGCCCTCTGGGTCAGACCTGGGGCTCATTCCCCATCTTCCATCACACACCATCAGGTGGGGGCATGCCAGGGACTCCCATCAAACAAACCCTCAACGCGTTCATCAAGAATCATGTCTGATGCCCAAAGACAACAGTGTTTCTGAATTTCCATCACCCTGGCCCTGACATTTCAACACACCTCCCTTCATCCCTGAGGAGTACGGCAGCCCAGCATCTCCACAGAAGAATCATAAAATGAAACAAAACCATTCACAGAGTTCTCATTCACATGACGTCAGCCCAGAAATAAGACATTCACTTTGGCCTAGAGAAAAATACTCACACAAATGGGGATGAAGTTCGGGCCATTCATTCCCATCCCCCATCCTTTTTCTCCAGCACGCTGATCCTGAATCTAGCCTTGTTTATTTGTAACGCTCCAACGCTTTCACGATGACTGTATTAAGTGGCACCCAACCATGTTTATGTTTTGGTTTAGCATCGCTCTGGTTTTGGTTTAGCTCCCACTGGTAAGCTTTTCTAGACTGCCTCATTTTTCTCTCTCTCTGTCCCCTACATTCTGCAGGTTATCCTTTTTATTGGTTTGCATATTGATTCTGCTATTTCTGATGAGTTCTCTCCCTGCTGCGCTGGCTATTTAGCCTCCACCAGTAGTGTTAATGGCTTGCAATCTTTCATGGAGCAGCTGTGGGAATGAAATGATATAATGGATGTACAGGGCCTGAAACATAGTAAGCTTTGGTAGTGGTTTTTAAAAGGCACCATTTTCCACCCTTACTTTTAGTGACAGGAACAGAAAAGCACTAATGTGTGAGTGGCCACAGCCCTCCCCTCCTGTCCTATGTGTGTCCACTTCTGGGCTCTTTTTTGCAGACAGGACAGATTATCAGGGGAGCTGGAGAAGCCCAACAAGTTCCATGAACCTGAATGGAAAGGTTTGACAGCAAGTCTCAGGACAGAAAGGCAGAGGGCATGGGGGAGAGTGAGAAAAGAGCCTGCATGGATGGACCTGCAGAAAAACTTGTGGGAAGTGTGCTTGTTTGAAGAATAGGAGTAACGATTCTGGGAGCTGGCATACTATGAGACTGGGGGAGACTGGGAGTCAGCTCAGAGGTGTGCCATGCCACAGGTCCCCGGAAGGTCTCATACAGATTTCAGTAGCTTGTGTATTTGTTTGCTTGTTGGTTTTTTGCTTATGGATGATGGGTTAGTACCTCTGAAGTGTAATGCTGTGCTGAGGTGGACTTCAAAGCAGCTCGACTGTATTCAGATTATGCTTTTAGAATCAAGAGCTCATTCTTTTCGTGATTTCCTGCTAGTACCTTTGTACACACTGAGCATCTCCCTTTCCGACATCAGCTAAATCCAGCCTTTGTATAGTTAGAAAAATCATGAGTAATCTTGATAGTTCCCATGGGCCTTACGTATACCGTCTCTCTAATCCTTGTATTGATCCTGTGAACTGAGCCTTATTGAATCCATTTTAAATGAGAGTAAACTGAAGCCAGAGATTTGATGCGACTTGTCAGAGCTCTCCCGGCTGGAAGGTGGTAACCACAGAACTGGAATCGGGATCCTGACTTGAAGCCCAGGCAGCCGTGAATGGGGCATCCTTGGTACACCTTTCTTTCACTCCTATCATGAGATATTTTACTTCTCCTTGGGAACCTGCATGCCACCCAAATTGGGTCATTATCCTTCATTACTCATTTAGAGAAATCACTAAGCACCTACTATGGGGTGGACACTAGATCCTGGGGATAATATCAGTGGTGGCCAACCACACAGTGTCCATCAGAACATAATCACACAAAGCAGACCTGGATGGTGGCCCTGATATGCACTGTGAAGGGGAAACAGGAGCCGAAGGGGCTTGCCCAGGACCCAAGGAGAGCATGCACAGCCTTGGTGTGAGCCCTTAGGAATCGCTGGGCTACCTGAGCCAGGCAGCTGTGGGCTCTTCCTTCACCACCCAGGGCATTTCTGGGAGGAGGTCACACAGTTTAGTTCTGTCTTGAGGCTCCTCTATTCTCAGGCCATGGCGATTGTGCTCTTTTCAGGAAATGATATGCTTTGGTGTTCCTGGAGAAAAGGTCTCCCTGAGAGGTGGGGGCGGTAGGAGGGATACAGGGGTCCTGACCTGGAGCCAAGCGGCTGATTTAGAATGTTGACCCAGAGGCCTGCTCACTTCTCTCTGCTGTTGCAGTTTGTGGTGGGCCGAGATGGCACCTGTGGCGTGGTGTGTGAACACTCCCCTTTCGACGGCATTGTCCTGGTGCAGTGCACGGAGCATCTGCTCAAGCACATGTGAGTCTGGGGGCAGGGCCCCTCCTGAGCCACTGAGCGGCCATGGGACGCAAAGCCGGATTCCCAGCAGTGGCCAAGCTAGGCCAAGAAAAATGTGGGCGGCCACTGAGGAGCTGCATCAGTCTGGCATGTGTCCTAGCAAAAGACGAATTTGAAAACCAGCTTGAATGAGACATCGTATGCTTTATCGATCTTGGACAGAAGGGGCAGACTGAGCAACAAGTTTAGGGTAGTTAGGGCAATATTTGGCCAAGAATTCTCAGCTTTAAGGGAACATTTGCTCTGGTCCAGGAAAGCCCAGGTCGATGTCTATTGCCTGTCTGGAGTCGGGTGTGGGCCCACTATTGACCCAGCACAGAGGGGAACTGTACCTGTTTCTCTCCTCTCAGCCTGGGTCTCTCTCCCTACCTTCCAAGGTCGCCAGACTGATTACTTCTCTGTCCTTTAGATACACTGGGTCCCTTCCTCCATTCATGATTTTGCTCATTCTCTCCTCCTAGAATCCTCTCCCTGAATCTATTAGTGCTAAATCTCTTCCATGATTTAGGGACTCTGTGCGTGCATGTAAGTCACTTCAGTCATGTCCAGCTCTTTGTGACCCCATGGACTGTAGCCCACCAGGCTTCTCTGTCCATGAGATTCTCTAGGCAAGAATACTGGAGTGGGTTGCCATACCCTCCTCCAGGGGATCTTTCCAACTCGGGGATTGAACCTGAGACTCCTATGTCTCCTGTATTGACAGGCTGATTCTTTACCACTAGAGCCATCTGGACTTCCCTGAAGGGATTCTTTAGGATCACTGAAAACCCAAACCAGCCCTCATTGGCAGAAAAACAATTTGCTAGTTCCATTTGTCCCCAAATGTGTGTGTTATTTTGTTTTTTGTTTTTGTTTTTTTTTAAGAGTTACTGGTGTAGCATGGTCAAACAGGAAAATGTGAAAAGAAATCCTGGGCTTTGCAGTCAGGTGGAACTGGATGGAATCCTAGCTCGGCCGCTCACTAATTTAGGTGTCCTCTCAGAGCTTCAGTCCATTCATCTGTGTCGTGGTTTGGGGGGCACACCAAACTCCAACATCTAAGATGACTGCAGGGCAAAGAAATAAGCTGCCCACAGGCCCCCAGCTTGCAGGGCCACAGGAGGTCACCCCATTGTCCTGCAGGGTGAAGACCAGCAAGAAGATGGTCCGAGCTGACTCGGTCAGCGAGCTCCCAGCACCCAGGAGGCTGAGGTGGAAATGCTCCCCGGAAATTCAAGGTCTCTTAGCCTCCTCAGCAGAAAAACTTCAACAGTAAGGAGAATCCCAGGTCTTTGGGGGTGATGCTCCAGGGGGGATCACCATACCACTCCCCCACCCTACCAGCTGCCAAGGTATCCTAGGAGCTTCCAAAGACCCCAACTCCTCTGCCTCCTCCCACCCGCCTCCGCCCACCCCCTTCATGGAAATGCAGTCAAACTAAAGGGGGAATTGTACCTCTTGGGGAAATAACCTTGCCAAAGTATCCTTCATTTCCATAAAATGCAAACATGCATCTATTTTTTTCCACAGGTTTCACCTGACTGAGCAGAGTCAAGGCGGGGAAATCATCTCCAGCTTCCGGGGTGGGGGCAGGGGGGTCATTGCCAACTGGTTTGAATAAGTCATTTGAATCCAGGAGATTTCAATTTGCTTGAATTTACACTGCAATTGGACAAGGGGCCTTTTTTTCCCAAGGGCAGCCCTAACGGGACCCAGCAGGAGACCCCGGGGGGTGGGGGGTGTGAATATGAGCCCTTGCTAGCAGTTGCAAGGTGTGCTGGGAGCCACAGTCTGGCAGCTAGATATGGACTTTGGCTCTTCATTCCCTCATTCAATAAATGAGCAGGAATGCATTCACTCATTCTTTCATTCATTTGTTCATCATACATGTGCAGAGCTCTGGTGTGTTCCAGGCCTCTGATAGGGCTCTGGGGACACAGAAATCAATGTGCCACTAATCCCACCCTCCATACTTTGGAGGAGGAACTGGATCCCCAAAGCAAAAGTGTCAGATGCAGTAAGTGTCCAAACCAGAGACAAGTATTTCATTCTGAACCCACAGAGGACACTGGGGCTGAGTTCTGCCAGGAGGCGGAGCGAGGGCTTTGCAGAGATGGGCCTTGAAGGATAACTAGGAGTTTGTAGTGCCAGCAGCTGGGAAAGACACAGGAACCTAAGATCAGTTTGTTTGGAGGCCAACAAGTGAGAGAATGACCAGAGCTGGGGCAATAAAGGGAAGCTGGGGTGACATTGCAAAGAACTTTATGTCCTTACACTATGGGCACTGGAAGCTGTGCTGCAGTGGTGAGGAACCCCTGGAGGATTTAGGGCATGGGGTTTCAGGGAACCAGTGAGGAGACTGTGGGAATAGCGTGGGTGAGCAGGACAGAGCGTGGCTGGGCTCAGAAGCCGAGGGATGGGGAGGGTGAGTCCACAGCGAGCTGCTGGAGGTGTTGACTGACTTTCCAGGGGGAGGAAGAGAGGCCTTAGGTGTTCATCTGTAACTGCTCATACCTCAACCCTATGGGGCTGCTCTTGGGACATGAAGGTGAGTGAGTTGGTGGGCTGGTGAGACCTGGGCAGAAGAAAGAGTTGGCTTATTTCAGGGCTTCAGGCAGCTGTCATGTGGTCCCAAGAGCCCAGCTTTCCTTTCTAGATGACCGGAAGAGCCAAGAGAGGCCTGTGGGTGGGGAATCAGGAGAAACCGTGAGGTCCTGAACTGCCATGGAAGGTAGGTAGGGTCTGAGGGGCCAGGGTTTGGCCAAGAAGTTTCCAGGTGGCTGGGGTGACTGTGAGCTCAGCCTGTCCAGGGCAGTAGGTCAACAGGAAAGACTGAAGGGTGAGTTCCCATGAGAACTGGGCCCTCTCTGAGTCCTGCTGGGTTCTCGGAAACTGGCATGGACCAACCGAGAGCTGAGCTCACATGACTGGAGGAATAATTCAAGGCAAGTCAGGCAGGGAACACCGAATCCTGAGGGAGGGTGGGAGCAGGGGTCAGGGCTGCCCACCCAGGGCTCTGCACACACACACACGTGCGCGCACACACACACACACACACACACACACACACATATACAAACATGGCTGGTGGCCAGATGGTGGGGACCTTGCTGCATGTTGCTCCTGCAAGCCGTCAGCCCAGACCCCAAACACATTATGAAGGAGACTGGTCAATATAGTGAGGGGAAGGGAGTGGGGAGACCAGCATTGAAGGTCTGTCTCAGTGTGGACTCAGGGAATCTTCTACTTGACAGTGATTTGTGGGCAGCAAGGGTCTAGGCATATCACAGGAGGCTCAGCATCAATTTATGGGTAAAATGGATTTTCAGTCACCAACAAAGCCCGGATGAGCAGCTTTAGCTGCGGTGACTGTGACCAGCAGCCAGGTCCCAGGCCTTTCTTCCCATAGCACAACAGGGACAAGTCTCAGTGAGAGATACTACTTGCAGCCGTCAGAGAAACAGGCTTTTCCCTGGACATGGGGGGTTGGCAGGTCTTGCAGGATGGCCAGGATGCCCAAAGAGTCCATGGAAATGCTGGACACACCTTCCCAAACAGGTCAAAATACATGGCCTCTATGAGGCCTACTTCTGGGGGCAATGAATTTCTAGGACTTTGTTTGTGGGCTGTGTTCTCCTTGCCCATGCAAATGACCCTTGTGCTTCTGTGTCCCTCCCTGAAGCCAGGCCCACCTCCCCCACCCACAGTACAGAACCACTGCCCTGTCCAGCCAAGCCTCACCCTCAGTTCAGAGTCCTCCTAGTCGGCATGCCCTCTGCCACTTCCATACATCAAGGCCTGTCTCTGGCTGTGTCCTGGACACCTTACTGCTTTGACATGGACCAGGCTCAAGAAACTTCGTTAGAGTCTGTGGTGAGTGCATTCTATCTTGCATGCAGTGAAAGCTTCTTTCCTTTTTCTTCCACAGAATAGTAAAGAATCTCGACTTCACCGTTTGTAAGTTTGACAACTATGGGAAAACATTCATTAAGCAACAGAAATGCAGCCCTGATGCCTTTATTCAGGTGGCCCTCCAGCTGGCCTTCTACAGGTAAGCACAGCCTGCCCAGGGGGACTGACTGACGAGCTACTCTAGGGTCTAGAAGCATCTCTGAGGGAGGGATGACTCTCTGTGAGCCTAGAGAATCGGGGGTATGACCAGGACAGGCTGCATGGAAGGACCCTGTCACCTAAAGCTGGCAAGCAATGACCCAGGGGCACAGAGTTCATGGGGGGGGGCGGGTGGAGGGACGCAGAACTAACAAGGGCCAGGCAGGTGGTAAGGACATCTCGTGGTTTCCTCCTGATCTCAGCCAGCCCACCTGGGGCGCTGGCCTTGACCTGTTCCACCCAGTTTTCCTGGTCTTGACAAGGAGATGGAACTAGCATCCCTGCCCACCCCCTGGTGGGTCAAGTCAAACATTTGGGGCTTAACTGGTTTCCGTCGCTCATTCCCCTCACCCCACAGCAGTTCTCCTCCATCCTCTGCCCTCCACCTCCAAGCCCCCGCCACCTGATGTTTGGTCAACTGTAGCCTGCCTTTGCAGGTCCACTCTTGTCCCCAGTAATCCTGTCTTCATGAAGCATGAACTTTGAAATATACAAATCAGATTCCATCACCTACCACCTCGAACCCTCCCAGTGGTTTCCCATCATGCTTAGAACAAAGTCCAGGCTCAGAAAGGCTCTTTGTGAACCAGCCTTCCCAGGGCCCTGCCCCCAAGCTCCCTCCCACCTCCAGACCTTTGTGTTGTGCCAGTGCCTCTGCCCACCCACCTGTCACCGCCACTCTTCACACGCCAGCTCCTTCCTACAGCTCAGGTCTCAGCTCAGGCGCCAGCCCTCAGAGGCCACCTCGGAGCCTCTTGCCACCACTTCTCTGTCACAGCACGCTGCGTTCTTTTTTCATTCATGGCAGTTGTTATGCATGTGGGCTCCCCTGTTCATGGATTCGCTGACTTTGTTTTCTAGACTGTCTCCCCCAGGCGTGATGTTCTCGGTTATCTTGCGTGCCTGGGACAGAGTAGGCACCAGGGACTGTCAGAGCCCTGAGAAGACGCTGCAGGGGTTTTAGCCTGCGGTGGCATGGTCAGTGTGTGGTTTAGAAAACTCCCTTAAGTGGTAGCTCTGGCCTGGGGAAGAGATGCAGAGTTGGGAGTAAGGGTTGAAGACAGGGTAGGGAGCTGAATTGACCTTTCATGAGAGGCAAAAAATCATGCAAAATATATCTTCCTCAAGACAGGGCTGGCTCCTGTTGGTCCCAGCATCCCAGAAGCAGCAGCTCATAAACTAACACAGGTGCGATGTAGTAAATAGCACCACACCCCCACCAGAACCTGCTTTTGGTCTGCAATCAGGACAGGCATAAAGTGACATGGAGAAGGCCCTGCAAGGAGGTATCACTAATAAGTGGGTGTCATCCCAGACTCCAGTGTCCCTCGCAGGGGGTGTGACTCATGGGGGAGGGAGTGCAGCCACTCTGAGGGTCATCTGTCAGGTTGACATCACCCCACACAAGGACTGTGCTCACCGCCAGGATGTGGAGACCTCGCTGGCATTGGGCTGTGGAAGGACCCAGCCTCTGGAACTGCAGTCAATGCCGTCTGATACTCAGATGGCATGTGGCTAAAATGGGCCATGAGGTCAGTGTCCTGCTAGTGCCATGGCTGCGGACACTGCTGGTGTTCAAGCACTTCAGAGCTTCAGATCCAAATCCCAGAAGGGATGGGGACAGAGCCCCCTTCCTCTACCCTCCAGAGATCTTTGCTGTCACTGGACATGGCCAGAAATAGATGAGGCCAGAGGCTCCCAGGCTCATTGAATAGGCAAAATACCACCTGCTGCCTATGGAATGATTGCTTTGGAGTTTCAACTGTAACAAAAAATATATATTTTTAATCTGCTTCTAGATTCAGCAGAAACCTGGAAGCTGCCTAAATTGGGGCTGATCAGCTACCAGCCAGTGATGGCGTCTACTTTTGTGCTCAGCAGGGTGTTTGCTCCGAGGGGCTGTAGAGATACAGGAAATGAGCTCCCTGCCAGAGTCTTGAGGGCAAATGAGACATGAGTACAGGAAGTGCCACTTTCTTGGCAAGTCGTAGTGTCAAGCACTGTACCCAATCAGACTCTCGATTCCCCACTCCTGGAACTCACCCAGGGCGAGAGAGACTTGCCTGAAGGAGGCCAAGATACAAGGCCACAACATGCTGTGACTTCAGGCTGCCACTGCCCCTCTCAGAGCTCTGTGTCTTTCCCGTCCCTGACCCCTTAACACCAACAGCTTTACTGACTGGCGAGAAAGGTGTTTGCCAGCCTGGTATGCAAGCCTGAAGGTGCTCACTTAGTTTGCATATCTCAGGAAGGAATATGCTCTGACTGGTGGGGCCAGGGGTCACAGATGTGAGGAAGGAGAAACACAGCCCTGGTACCCATGGGTCACTTTGGAAGCAATGCTACTTCTGGATGGTGGGCCTGTGCAGCAGCTGGCACCCATGGCCACTAAGGCCCCCTCCCTGCCTTGATCCATAGGTCATGCTTGAATTGTTTTTAAATAAAACAGGATTCCCTCAAGAGTGGGAATGATGAATTATTCCACGCTGTGCTATTAATCACTCACTCATTGGGTCTTGCAGAAAATTCTAGGTTTCCCACCAGATTGGGACTTTAAAAAAAAAAAAAAACAACCACCAGTCATGTCTCCCTTATATTTTATATCCACACAGTATCACCCACGCAGAAAAGTGTGCTCAGCTCTTCATATCAGAGGCTCCCCAGTGTTCATCTTTGGGGAATCTCCTCCAGAATTCTATTAGCATTAAAATGAAAGACTGTGCCGAGCAAAGGCAGGACTGTAAAAATAAAGGCAGGCGAGGCTATTTTTCCTTCAGCATTTATGACTCCCTGAGAAGGCAGCACTGTCTGCCATTCCTCCTTCATCCTGTACAGGCTCCACGGGAAACTCGTGCCCACCTACGAGAGCGCGTCCATCCGCCGGTTCCACGAGGGACGGGTAGACAACATTCGATCGGCCACTCCGGAGGCGCTGCGTTTTGTGAAAGCCATCGCTGACCACCACACAGCCACCGTGCCGGTGAGTCTTGCTGGCCTGAGGGGTCTCAGGGAGGTCAGTGGGGCAGCTGTGGGCCGCCTGTGGCTCAGCCCCGGGACACCCAGCTCCTTTGGCTGGTCTGTACCTGAGCAGCCTCTTAAAGCCCCGTGCACTGCGTCTCTGTCCATTTACAGGGTTCGGAGAAGCTGCTGCTCCTAAAGGATGCCATCCGAGCCCAGACGGAGTACACAGTCATGGTGAGTGACCTCGCCTGCGCTCACGACCCCGGCTGCGCCCAGAGCTGGGGCCTCAGCACAGACTCAGGGTGACAGCTGGACCACCTCCTATGCAGCGACTTGGTGAGGCCACCTTGCCTATCAGAGCCTCCTCTTTCTTATTTTTAAAAGCTGGCTAACACAGCACTCCTGCTTTGTACATGGATTTTACAGGAATACAATGAATGGTCTTTGAAACAACTCCAGTAATAATAGCACCAACATGTAAAGCACCTTACAGTTTATATAAGAGAAGGCAGACGTATGTGGTTCATGCAGTCTCAGGTGAGGCAGTGTTTATTCCCACCCAGGGCTGTTTCTGCCTTCTTATTCTCCATGTATTTATTTATTTATACTGCTTGTGAATAAAAAGATTTTTTTTGCTGAAAGTTAATGGTGAAATTGAAATGGTAAGGGAAATGCTTTCCTGGGTTGGGAAAATAATATATTTCTGGCACTGCAAAGCCATTATTTGCATACAAACCAAAAATAAGCTACTGCTTGGACTGGTGATCAATATATTAATTGTGAATCATTCTGATACAGTCTTTGAAGTATCATACAATCTATGAAAAGGAGTTTACTTTGTATTTACTTTGTTTACTGTCTATGTATTTGAAAGCAAGCACAACATAGATCTCAGTTTTAGAACTAGCCGGTATAGACTTTTGGAGAAGGCAATGGCACCCCACTCCGGTACTCTTACCTGGAAAATCCCATGGACGGAAGAGCCTGGTAGGCTGCAGTCCATGGGGTCGCGAAGAGTTGGACATGACTGAGCAACTTGACTTTTACTTTTCACTTTCATGCACTGGAGAAAGAAATGGCAACCCACTCCAGTGTTCTTGCCTGGAGAATCCCAGGGAAGGTAGAGCCTGGTTGACTGCCATCTATGGGGTCACACAGAGTCGGACACGACTGAAGCGACTTAGCAGTAGCAGCAGCAGTATAGGCTTTTCTCCAATTCAGTTGCTAGGTCCCTGATTCATCTGAATAGGTGTTTGTTCTGTTTGGGGAAAATCAAGCTTGCTCTCATGTCTTCTGTGGGTATCCTTTGTTTTTCTGCTCTATGCCAGGCAAGGGATTAGGTGCTGGCAAATAAAAAATGAAGCCCTATCCTTGGGGAGTTCACTATGTAGTAGGTAAAAGAGGCCTTAAGTATTTCAGGAAGTAGCAGAGAACATGGAGGAATAACTTCCTTCTGCTTGGGAAAGCCAGGTGAACTCCCCAGAGGAAGTAGTGCTTCATATGAGACTTAAAGCATGAAGTGTTTTTCAGGTAGATGTAGAAGGGAAGGATGGCCCTAGAAGGGAACAGCATAGGCAAAGGCAAGGGCTTACAATTTTTACTTATTAAGCTCTCTTTCTAGTAAAGCTATTGGAGGATGTAGACCACTAACATAAGAGAATAAAACACACAAAAAGAAAATCATAGACTTAAACATCAGAAGATGCAACACCAGAAAGAGGTCGAGAAAAGGATGAGAGCAAAGGGAGGTCTCAAGTTGACGGCTGTTCTGCAGACCCAGGGAACAGTCAGTCCGGAGAGAAGCGAGAAGTGAAAGGAGAAATTAAACTGATAAATTATCTGATACATTTTTATGCATTAAGGGGAGTTTTACAGTTCTGGCTGAGGATTTACGAATCAATAAATTGTAGATACATAGAAAGGTAGGCAAGTGGGAAAATCATAATTTAATCATTTGCAAACTGTCGATTCCAGGGAACACGAAAAACTGATTAAGAAAGGAAATCTAATCCTAACACATGCAGGACTCAGGACTCAGCTGTGAATACTTGCATAATTATAGCCATGTAAACACTGAATGTTGATCAAGTGACAAGGAGTTCAAATCTAACTCTGTTGGAAGCATAGGGGAGTGGAAGTATATTTGGGAAGGAGGGTATCAAAGAGCCAAAGTTTCATCTTCTATAATAAGGAAATTGAAAAATGCAGTAGCAGCAGTCTAAGCATATTATTCAGAACTAAGAAAGTCAGTAGCTAAAAGAGTTCCAAGTGATTGCTTCTGTGGAGTGGGACTCAGTGCTGGCAAAGTGATGTAAGTCTTTGGCTTATTTGTTTTTTTTTTTAAACTATAAATATACAACTTTGATAATCATTTAAAATTTTATGAAAAATTTAGGAAAATATTCTCCAAAGCATTGCCATAGGGTTCTGCTGTGTTAACTATTTTAAGTTGGTGAAAACAACTCAATAAAAGAGATCAGGGATGGGGAGAGGAGAGCCATAAAGATGCTTTGTATGTCCCTGGTTGGCTGTGCGGGGTAAGGGGCAGAGAGGAAACCAGGAAACCTCCATGTATCTGGAAAGTATATTTGGTAGAGGTTGTGGAGAAAGGAAATTCCAAGGAAAGGAGCAAATGTGGTCCAGACACACTGTCACATCCTCTCATAGCACCGTATGCTTCTCCTTCCTAGTATTTACTCAGTTTATGATCACAAGTTGATTTGTATGGTTGGTTAATATGTCTCCCACCCCACCCAAGGCTCCATGAGGCTGAGTCTGTGACTGCTTTGTTCTCTAGCAGCTTCTCAGACACATAGTAGGCACTCAGTTAAGGTTCTTGAATGAACAAAAGACTGGATGTTGAGTCATTTTGCTCATTACTACTCATGGCTCTGATCCAAAGAGTCAGTTGAATCAACCCCAGTTGCTACAGTGACTTCAGAGATGGTGAAATGGGGGCTGTTGTTCAGAGTAGCTGCTTTGATAGATCTATACAAATCAGTCATTAAATAGAGGCAACCTGAGAAATTAAAAATACATCTACTTCATAACTGGCCTGTCTCACAGATCTTCACCTCTGTCCTAACGGGGTACGTCCAAAGTGAATGGTGATTGTATAACATGTCTTTTCAGCCTATGATTAGGTGTGTTTGGAGAGACTGGGGTCCCTGAGTCATCTTTATGCATCCATTCTCAACTGAAAGAGAACAGATATCAAATTCCAAAACATACCTTGTAAACCTGAACAAAATTCACCATGGCAGAAGATTTCCGCCTATGTGCGGCATTGTTAACAGCTAAGTGGCCATCTTATGTAACCGTGAAACCCCTAAGAATTACTCACGGGTACCCTGATGTTGATCCAAAGGCCAGAGGAGGGACTTCCCTGGGGGCACAGTGGATAGGAGTCCACCTGCCAATGCAGAGAACACGAGTTCAATTCCTGGTCCGGGAGGATTCCACATGCTGTGGAGCACCTAAGCCCATGCGTCACAACTACTGAGCCTGTGCTCTAGAGCCCGTGAGCCACAACTGTGAGCCCACGTGCCGCAACTACTGAAGCCCACGCACCCTAGAGCCTGTGCTCTGCAACAAGGGCAGCCACTGCAATGAGAAGCCCGCACACCACAAAGAAGGTAGCCCCCGCTCACTGCAACTAGAGAAAGCCCACAGAAAGCAACAAAGATTCAGCATGGCCAAAAATAAAATAAATACATTCTAAAAATTATTTTAAAAGAAAGAGGCCTCCAGGTCTCCATCAGCCACACAAATTGCCCCAATCAAACATGTAATCCATGCAAAACCCCTGTGCCTGCTGCATGCAGCCTCCCGTGGGGAAGACAGAGAAGACTGCCCTGGTTCCACTGTCCCCTTCCAGCCACACCACCACCCCTGAGCTCCTCCTACATAGGAGTCTTCCACTGCTATTCTCTTATACTTTGATAAGATTTCAAATACCTGTGACAAAAAGAAAGACCCTTTCTTCATCCAACAACCCTTGAAAATGTGAGCTGAGCCTCTGCTAAGCTGTCTAGCTCCTGTCTCAAAATTACTCTTAGATTATGAGTCCAGTTTAGTTGAATTGACTCTGAGCCTGTGAAACAGCAGCCAGGATTCAAGGACACCTCAGCACCCTCTGCCCCTTTTTCCTTGGGCTCCTGCTGGAGGATGAAGTGTTGGTTGTGGTGAAAACCCATCCAGTGACAGCCTGGGGTACCCCTCCCAATGCTTGGATGGGTTCCAGCCAGCACCTGTGCTCCTGCCCAGCTTCTCCCGCCGAAGAGGTACCCAGGAGGGCCAAGCCAGCCCTGCTGTTTCTCCAGCCCTGCTGGTTTAGGAGATGCAGGCCCGGCGTCTCCTAAACCAGTGCTACAGCCTTGTTCTGTTGGAGGACCGCTGACACAAAAACAGAACATGATCAGTTAGAGAAAGGCAGCCATTTAGGAACATGAGGGGTTATACATGCTGAACATCGGCAGAGACCATGCTGTTGGGGGGCAAGGAGTCAGACTCACCAGCTTTTAACTCGGGCATCCTCATCTAGAACCCAACCTGCTCTGGCTCATCCTGTGTGTGAAGAAATATACAAGAAGCAGAGGCCATGTAGGACAGTGCTCGGTCCTGTGCAGCTGCCACACGTGGACGTGGTTCACAGCAAGCACTGGGTGGGCAAGAGCCATTAGTGTCCCCACGAGCTTTGCAGACTAGAGAGGAGGGAAGGAGGGGAAGCCTGTGTCTCAAGTCCTGTTCTCTGTCTCAGGCCATAACAGGGATGGCCATCGACAACCACCTGCTGGGGCTGCGGGAGCTGGCCCGGGAAATGTGCAAAGAACTGCCCGAGATGTTCACGGATGAAACGTACCTGATGAGCAACCGGTTTGTCCTCTCCACCAGCCAGGTACTGCCCCAGTGCAACCAGCACCCGAGAGCACTTAGTGGAAGCAGTGGGCTTTCTCACAAGCTGGCTGATTATAGCCCACTGCTTGGAATCAGCCCGGTCCTGGCTCTGCTTCCAGTGAACTGCATGCCCTTCAGCAGAAGGACCGAAATGCTCAGAGTGCTGTTTCCCCCATCTTCTAAATGTGCACAATCACAAATGCCTCCTTAGCAGAGGTGGGCAGGATAGGAGAATTCCCACTCTGGTGCCCTAACCATTAGGCATACTTCTTCCAGTGTTGCCCAAGAGGTGGTGTCCTACCATGGTGACCATGGGCCCAGAGGCAAGTCCTGGCTCAATCAAATGCGATGATGTAGGTGGAAAGCCCAGACCCCCAGTGCTTGGCACAGACAGGGTCCTCCAAGCAGGTCACAGACCTCATCGTAAGGGGCCACTGAAGGCCCGGCATCTCCTAAACCAGCGCTACATCCTTGTTCTGTTGGAGGACCACTGACACAAAAACAGAACATGATCCGTTAGAGAAAGGCAGCCATTTAGGAGAGAAAATACCCACACCCTCTCCCCTTAACCCGCCCCACAAATGTCAGTTTACTAAAACTCCACCTCATCTGCAAAAGCAGAACGTGGGCAATAAAAAGGGCTGATAAAGTTGTGTTTGAGGATGAAAGCCCACTCAGTAATTTCATTTTGTCATTACGGCAGTAAGCTTGCAGACGTGAATAAACGAGGACAGAACACAACAACATAAATTCTTCAGGAAACCATCCATGGGCAAAAAGTGCTTCGGAACGGCTTTATGGCCTTCGGCTGTTGCACGGCAAATTTATCTGACAATGAGGTGACTCTATTAGCAAGACTAATGGTCTGTTCTGCCCCATTAAAATGGCCAGTGTCATTTCTGAAGGCCTGAGCACACAGAGCCTGTGGGTTTAAAACACACACCGCGCCCTGCACCTGCTCAAGAACGTGCTCCATTTCCCCTCTAAAATCAGCTAATACAATTAATTCAGGGTGTGGTGGTATTTTTTCCTCCAACTGGAATGAACATTGATGGCTTCAATGCCTTCAGAAGCACTTTTTCTTGGCTTGTGATCCGGATTACAAAATCGCAACCCTCTGAATTCAAAATGTAGCAGGTACATAACTAAAAACTCCAGTTGATGGCAATCTCTGAAATGCCCAATGCTGGGTAATTGTGCGTGACCAGGCTGCGGGGAGAAAAGCAGACCAGTCAGGCAATACTGACAGTAATTAAGGATGTGGGAAAAAATCGACAGAGACGAGGAGCCAGATTTCCTCCAGTTCATAAATTACTCCCTCTGGGAAGCCATCTAACTGTTGGGTGCCACCAGGGTGCGATTTAGTAAATTGCTCTGATTGCCTGGGTGATTCAAACAGCCCCCAGGTGAAGGAGAGATTCGGCCCAGCACCGGGTCACTCTGGGAGCTTCCGACTCCACGAGTAGAGCAGATTTCACACCAAGGAGGGGCTATGGCCTCTCTTCTGATTCACACAGTTAGATGGGTTTGTTTTGATGACTCTGGCTGTGGCCATCCATGATGAAGCAATCAGTTGATGTGGTTAATTCAGTCATACACCCAGGTGGGAAATAGTCAAAGAGAATCAAATATCTCATTGAGGCCCCTGGACTGCTGGAACATCATTCTTTGAGCAGACTTTCAGCACAAGCAACTTCTGACCTGTCCTCTCCTCCAGGTACCCACCACCATGGAGATGTTTTGCTGCTATGGTCCCGTGGTACCCAATGGGTACGGTGCCTGCTACAACCCCCAGCCAGAGAGCATCCTTTTCTGCATCTCCAGCTTCCACAACTGCAAGGAGACATCATCAACCAAGTTTGCAAAAGCTGTGGAAGAAAGCCTCCTTGAAATGAGACGCCTCTGCAGTCTGCCATTGTCTGCCACAGCCAAGCCACCAGCGACAAAGGAAAAAGTAACAAGGCCCAGTCAGGGGCACCAACCGTGATGGCTGCCACCACGTTTCAACTCCTCAACCCAGCATTCTGCAGCTGCCAGACCCCACCGAACCCCTTGCTCCCAGCCTTCACCCCAGCTTTCTGTAGCTTCCCTATAACTGCAGACCCAGCACAGACCACAGTGAGGCATCACACAAAACTGGACTGGTAGGAGGAACGCATCCCTCATGAGGCATGGGAATCATCATTATTTATCGAGGTGTCCTCGGGCCTGTGTGCTGGGAAATAAGACCAGCCTGGCTCTGAGGTGGCCCAGGTGAGATGGGGAAGCCACCACTGACTTCCCTCCATAGCCACAGAAGCTCAGTATTGGTGTGTGCTTCCCAGCAGGACCTAGCATGTCCAATGAAAGAATGAGTCACCTTATTATGTGCAATATACCCAAATGAACCATGAAGGAAGAGGCTAACCCCAGGTCATTGCCTTGTGTCTCTTGGGGAGGAGTAGAGGGCTTTGTTTTCAGATTCAAAGCAGTCTGATCATGGCATTCAGAGTGACCCGCCCTGAGACACGTGGCCCTATAAGCAGTACCCACCCTCGACACACACACACACACACACACACACACACACACACACACACACACATGCACACACGGCCCAAGTTAATTTAAAATACAGTGATCTGGGCCTGCAAACACATTTCTCCTTTTGCGTCCCAGAAGCAGGCTTCTACTGAGTTCAGAAAATCTGGTCTGGCTATTCTGAAAGGGGAAGAAAATGGTCTGCCATTGCCCTGGAGTAGCTGCTGCTCCCTGGTTTCCCTGGGGGCCTGGCAGGGACCGGTCCACCTCCCCAGGGATCCTGCTGCTTGCATTTTTTCTGGTTGCGTTCCCACTCGCCTTCACAAGAAACATGCCCTGATAGGTGATCTGCCTTTGGGAGGAGAGCAGGATGCTTCAGGGGTTTTCTGCTGCTCTTGTTTACTTGTTTTGTTTCATTCATTCTTGAGAGGCTTTTAAGAAAAGCACAGTGACATTAATTTCAGAATACGATCTCAGTGGCCTAAGCTGGACATCCTTGGACAGCTGGGCTACTTTATGTAGCGGATGTTATCTAGGGATTCTGACTGAAATGCATGTGAAGGAGCCCAAATCAGAGCTCTCCACTGGCCTGGGGGCTGAGGGCACAGCTGGTGAAGAGAGGGGCTGGGAGGAGGGAATGGCTGCACACAGAGCCAGCCCTGATGGAGGGGCCAGCCGTCCACAGAACTGAGCTGAGGATGTCTGGGGAGGCAGTGATCATGGAGGAGATGTGAGAGGCACTTTCTGCTAGGGCATATTTTTATGGGAAAGCAACCAGAAAAATCAAAACTGCAAATAGCCAGGGCAGCCTGCTTTTGTCCAGAGGAGGTGCAGAACTGGGCTCCAATCACACTGAGTGCTGCCATGCTTCCTGTGGGTTTTCCTAAAAAAAGAAAAGCCCTCTACTCCCGCAAAGACACGAGGCAATGACCTGCCTATCCTGCTCTGTCACACCCTCCACTGTGGCCCAGGGACCATGAATGTCTCTTCTTTGGAGCACTGTGCAAGCTCTCTGCCCTTTGACTAACATAGAAGCAGGCAGGGCTGAGATGGGGGGAACATTTTGACCTTTGCTGGGACCTTTGATAACACAGACAACCCTAAGCTGTAAATTCCTTGAGCCCCTGGTTTTAGGTTGAGAAGTTCTATTGTATGATCTGGGCGATTCTGGCACTGCCCCTTCAAAATCATTGGTCTGCAGGGTCCATGCTACTTCCCTCACACATCCACCTTTCTGCTCCCCCTGGAAAAGTACAGCCCAAGAGTCCCAGGAATGTTTAGGGAACTGCTGTCCACCTGTTGTAAGCTGACTCAAAGCTGCCTACGGTTTCCAGCAAATGATCACAGTGAAGATCCAAGTTCTCTTCTGGTTTCTCTCCAAAAATTTCTGGGCAGATAGACAGCTCTGGTTTGGGGATCAGGCAGCCTCATTTGTCTTGGCCAAGAGACTTAAAAAGCCCAGAGACTCAAGTTCTTCCATCATCAAATGGGGACAAGAGCATCCCAGCCTTGTGAGGTTGTCAGGATGGTAGATCACATGTGTAAAGGGCCTTTGAGCAGGTGGGCACTGGTGCCCGCTGTCGGGATGATGTTACCCCAGCAGGCACTGTTCAGGTGATGTTTATTTCAGACTTTCTCTCAAACACTCACTTGTCAGAACCAAGCTCACATTTGCCTTTTTCTGAGCTTAGGGGAAGGAAACTGACTGTGTATTCTGATATCAACCATGTGTGGATGGCAGACGTTTGACAGGAGGGAATAGCTCCTCCCTCCCTCCGAGGGAGGGGCTGGAAGCTGGTCTTCCCCCTCCAAGTTCAGGTGGATACAATGAGCCTTTATGTAAAGGCAATGCTGAGCCATGGCCATGGCCATCTCTGTGGGGACCCTGGTAAAGGAGACTGTCTCAAGAGTCCTCAGAGAGATGGAAAACGAAACTTAGAGACTCAGATTTGGGGGGACAATGATGCATAATAAAAATGTATGTGGCCACCTTACCATACTGCTAAGTTGCCAAAATATATAAAGTTGATATTTGAGTTCTATTTTTATAAAACAGTTCTAGATTTATGGCAATATGTACATGTGTATTTATAGCCTTTTGATTTTAAGTTATAGTTTTGTGCTTTAAAGAAATATATGTGCGACTAAAGAACTGTATATTGAAAGCACTATATTCAAATTATTTAAAGACTGTAAGTCTATATTCAATAAAAAGTAATGCCAAGAAAGATGGCATTGGCTGCTGTTTCTACCCAGAAATGCTATAAAAAGTTGTGTAGTAAATTCTGTCAGCTGGGTCAACAATTCATTCGCCTTTGTCTGAGGTCTAACAACAGCAGCAGTGGATGTCTAAAAAACAGGATCTGGGAGAGAAAGAGCAGGAAAGAACTTAGTTTCTCCTAGCATGTGGCATGTATAGGGTGAGGGACAGAGAGGTTTCATGGGGTATTTGTGATCAGGTTGGGTATAGAGATGGGTGTCTCCACTTAAGTCTGTAAGAGCATGCATACACAGAATGAAGTGGAGGGAAAAGCATCAGGTTTGGAGGTGGGATGCCTAAACTACAGACACAGCTCTAGCTCTAATGGCAAGATAGAGTGACTTTGGGGAATGTCACTTTCACCTCTCTAGCCCTCAGTTTCCTCATCTGTAAAATGGGAATATTGATATCAGCCCTACCCATTTCCAGGGTTGTGGCAAAATGACATACGATGGTCATTGTTCAAAAACTTAGAAGTGATATAAAAATTTGACATTCTTGTTACAGGCTCACAAGTACATGTGCACACACTTCCTGAACCCTGCATGGCCCTGCACCCTGCACAGATATATTCCAAACTGCAAAACCCCCTCCACAACCCCAAGAATCCACAGAACCTGAACTGTTGTTGTTATTGTTTAGTCACTCAGTCATGTCCAACTTTTTTGCAACCCCATGGATTCTCCAGGCAAGAATACTGGAGTAGGTGGCCATTTCCTTTGATCCCCCACCCCAGGATCGAACCTGAGTCTCCTGAATTGGCAGGAAGATTCTTTACCTGGGAAGCCTGAACCAGAACCAAGATCCCTCCAAATAGAAGCCCAAATGCTTTCTGATCAAAGCCCAAAAGGAACCTTCAAGTGTGTGAATTTGTGTGATTGGGATGCAAAAGAGGCATTATCCAAAAAGACAATGGCTTAGAATATTCCAGGAGCAATGGAGGGGATACGAAGGAACAGGATGAAAGTAATGTGGCTTTGCTCTTGTTGGCCCCAACATAACCAGATGTAGGTGACAGAGAAGAGTAATAACAGGCAAGCCAAGCCCCAATGAGCAAAATAATGCCACTCCCCTCCTGTTCATCTGAAGGTCCTGGGAGGTGGACATTGGTACATTCAGGTAGAAATGTAAGGAGGAGTCCCTCCCAGGTTCACAAGAGCAACCACGAGTTTCCAAATTATGCCTAAGCAGTTCCCCCTGGGGACAGAGGGAGAACCAGTACCTTGGCTTCCCTTTATGAATTGAGGCAGCCTCTCAGCTTTTCTGTTTCTCTGAGTTTTCCTTCCACAGCAGCCTCTTGAGTCTGCAAGGTGAACAGTGTGGCATCTGAAGGGAAAGGGGCCCTCATATCACAAGAGAGGACCTTTCTCAAAGCCCTGTTCACCCTTGTATCCTAAGAACCAGCTCTCTCTTTGTTCTCTTCTACTGCTTCTTCCATCTCCTCGTGGGATTTCACTTCCTATTTCTGTTCCTTTCATGTCATTGGATCCCAAGTTTCTGTCCTTGGTCTCTATCTCTTATATTTAAGAAACTGCAAAACAGCAGGCTGAACTGATAGAGAAGGGTCGCTTCCACCTGTAAAAACATACACACAGAGAGTAAAAAATTTTAAACACATAGTCAAGTTCAAAAGAAAGAAAATAAACCCAAATTCTAGGGGGGGTGGGGGAACATTATCCAAAACAGAGCAGTGAGCAGGAGCTAAAGGTGTATTGGACCAGAAACAGACTCCAGTGGTCGACAGTGGTCTTTTCCATCCCTGCAAGTTGAGAGGACATAACCTCAGCCCAGCCAGGGTCGGAGATGCAGCTAAATGCCCCCCACAAACCAGAACCTCAGAGAGGTGTCCTAACTCTGTAAAAAGAACTAGAAATGCTCTTCCCATCAGTCCAGGGGAGCACTGAGGAACCATGCTATTCACATAGGGCTGCAGATGATGGAAAAAAGACATCCAAAAGAAATTTAATCATAAATTTCTGCTATATGTGGATGTAGAATCTGAGTATCTACATCTTATCTCTAAAGCAGGAATTCCAAACCAATAATTTATTTAAATTGCCTAGGTCAGTAAGATCCAAAGGACCTCAGCAGGATCAAATACAAAACCACTTTCCACAACCCTGAACACACCAAACCCCCATTGGAGAAAAGGTTCCATTAAAAATGAGGTCACGGGCAAAAAACAGCACAAGAAATGGCTTATAGGAGGGAAAGCATCAGATAAGACAAATAGGTGAACAGCATCGCAAAGGCTAGAGAAAAGAGATGACTGAGAGGAGCTATGAAATAGATTCATTTAACATTGCAAAGAAATAAAATATATGAAAAAGGAAGAGAATAGGGGGAAAGCACTATTTAAAGAGAAAATGGCTAAGAATATTCCAGAATCCAAAAAACACATACTCTAAAACCCATTGTCAAAAAAGAAATAATAGTGGATATTTTAAAATATTTAGAGCAAGAAAATAGAGATAACTCATATCAAGACCTCTGGGATAGGAACTTCCCTGGCAGTCCAGTGGTTAAGACGCTGTGCTTCAAATACAGGGGGCCCAGGTTCAACCCCTGGTTGGGGAACTAAAATCAGATAAAATAGATGAATAACAGGGATTTACTGTATAGCACAGGAATTATATATTTTTTAAAAGCCTCTGAAATACAGCAGAAGTGATGCTTTGAGGGAAATTCATACTTACAACAGAAAAAAGGAAAGAGGAAAGACTGATGAGTTAAGATAACTTAAAAAAGTAAGAAAAAAGACCAAACAGTAGACTCAAAGAAAGTAGAAGGAACAGTAAACTCAAAGAAAGCAATAAAGACAAAAACAGCTATCAATGAAAGAAAAAACAACAGAGAAGCTAAATAATGAAAAAGTTGATTCTTTTAAACTTTTCAACTTTGAAATCAATCTTTTCAAAGACTAACAAAATAGACAAGTCACAGGTAAAACCAATAAAATTAAAAGATAAGGTCAGAAATAAGCAATATTATGAATAAAAACTGACATAACCACAATAAAGTAGATAATAAAAAGATGGCAAAAATACATCAACCCGTTTATGTCAAAAATGTCAAAAAACTCAGATTGAAATTTTCTTATAAAAATATAATTAATTAAGACTGATGTAAGAAGAAATAAAATTTCTGGATAGTGCTTTAATCTTAAACTGAAGTGGTGATTTAAAATCTTCCCACTCAGGGGATGAATAATAAAAAATTAATAGAAATCATAAGAAATGGTTAAGGTAGCTACATAAGATCAATATATAAAAGTCAACTTCATTTTATACAACAATAAAATCACAATGCTAAATACATGGGAATTCCCTGGCAGTCCAGTGGTTAGAACTCAGCACTTTCACTCATGGGGATGAGTTTGATCCCTGGTCAGGGAACTAAGATTTCACAAGCTACATGGTGTGCCCCCCCCCCCAAAAAAGAAGAAAAAATACATGACTTGCAATAAATCTAACAAAACACATGCAAAGGCATACATAGATAATGATAAACACTTAAAGGCATTGAGGAAGATCTAAATAAAGGAGAGGCGTGTGTGTGTGCACACGTACTTAGTCATGTCTGACTCTTTTTGACCCCATAGGCTGTAGCTCATCAGGCTCCTCTGTCCATGGGATTTCTCAGGCAAGAATACTGGAGTGGGTTGTCATTTCCTACTCTAGAGGATCTTCCTAACCCAAGGATCTGTCTTTTATGTCTCCTACATTAGCAGGTGGGTTCTTTACTAGCATCATCTGGGAAGCCCCATAGGAGAGATATTTCAGTATGATATATAGAAAGGCCTCAGAAACATTCAGTTTCCCCCAAGTTGATCTCTAGAGTCAATGCAACTCCAGCAAAATTCTCAATGGGAGAATTTCTGTTTCTGATTACAATAGAGTAGTTTAATTCAGACTCTGACTCCTACATAAGATATCTTTAAAAACCTAGCATATATATTTTTAAAATCTTCTTGAAAATAATAAAAGAGCTAACTGGATTAAGATCAGGGAGAGAATGAGAAAGCATAACACTGAGATGCTTTTTCTCTGGAGCTATCTAGTGATCTTGAATAGGCAACCTAAAAGATGAGATGCAATTTTGAGTTTGCAGAGTTAGGCTTCCAAAAACTGGAGTATTAAACACCACCAAATGAATCTTGGTAAGCCACCACCCTCATTGGGCCAGGATCCAAAAAGACTGCACCATAGAAATGAGGAAAACAATATAAATAAACCAACCTCCACATGGACTGCAGCCCAGTTTCAGGCCATCTGGATGGCTAAGCAAATCTCAAACCCTGAAATTGTATTAAGATGATCCTGGGTTGCTGGTGCTACCAGGCCCTGGCAAGAAGTGAAAAATAAAGTCTTCCATAGAGGAAAATAACATCATGCTTGGCCTCAAATTATTTCTACAAATAATTTTTCTAATACAGTGTCCAGTACACAATTAAAGTAAACCAAGCACTATAGGAGACAAGACAAATTGACAGAAACTAGCAGAAATAACAATAGAAATAGACACACAGGGTCTCCAGATAGTGGAATTCCCAAACACAGAGTATAAAACAATTATTTTTATAATGATCAAGAAGATAATACCAGGCCTAAAAATCTTGGCAAGAAACTCAACTGTATAAAAAAAGTAGCACAGCAAAGTTGAAAAGGAACTAAACTAAAATTCTAGTGCTGAAAAATAAACAGCTGAAATAACGAACCAGATTGATGGGTTTCATAGCATTTAAGACACAATTGCAGAGAAAATTAGTAAACTGGATTACAAGCAAAAATAATCATGTGTATACACACACACATGCACTCCCAAAAGAAGCATGGAAGAAAGAAAAACACAGGAAAGGAGACAGTGAGAATAATACAGTGGGAATGCAATGAGAATACGTTGAGAAAGTGTAACATACATTTAACTGGAGTCCCTGAAAAGTGAGTAAATGGGACAGAAGCAATATGTGAAGAGATAATGGCTCAAAATTTTCCAAAACCAGATGAAAGACTTAAATTCACAGTTTCAAGAATTCCAACCAATACCAGGCTAGAGAAATAAAAGGACATTATACATACCTTACAAAGGGTTCCAATTTATACCACATGCCTGACTTGCGTGGGAAGGTTACTTGGCCTTTCCAAGCTTCTGTTTTGTAAATACAAAACATAACCTACTTCATAGGAACGGCAAAATGATTAAATGAGGTAACATGGAATGTGCTTAGCTTGTCACCTGACATAAACTTTCTGTAACTAGCTGTATATGTTGTTAACTGCTATTATTTATCATTAACGCTTGCCACACCAGGTTGAAATACCGTGTTTACCAGCTTGTGAGGGTTGCGAGAGCAAGTGGTTCCGACATCACTACATTTTTTTGCACCTCAGAAGTAGGCACACAGTAGGTGCAGGCATTCAGGATTCCTCATCTCCAGTCCCCAAGCCAGGCCCTTGGTTGGTGATTTGGGGTGCAAATCCTCCAACTCCACCCACAACCTCCGTGGCTCCGCCCACCCATGCATGACCACGCCCCCCCTCCGAAGGCTAGAAGAGCAGTTGCCTAGCAGTGTGTATTGCGCTGTAACCCCAGCAAGAGTCCTGGCCATGCCCAAAAACGCGCAGGTCATCATGCGCTATGGGCCATACAGCTCAATCGGTCTGTCAGTGGAGCACCGCACCTATCGCCTGGAGGGCCTGCTAGGTAGGCAGCCGAGGGCCAAACGGCCGTCCAACTGCATGTGCTCGGGTGCACCCCAGCCTCTGAACATCTGTGCAGGCTGTGCCCTCTGCCTAGACTTCCTTCCTTCCTACTTTCTCTGGAAATCTTCCCTGAACCCCTGCTGCCTAGTATTAAGGGGAGAACGGACATTCACGGCGAGCCCACTGGGTGCTGAGTAGTAAATTTCCTGAATACAAAGGTTACATGCCTTGCTTTACACATCGGGAAACTGAGGATCAGGAGTATTCAGTGACTTTTCCAGGGTCACCTGGCTGGAAAATGGCAGAGAGTCTATTCCTTGATCTTGCATTCATACAATAAACCTTTATTGAGCATCTAATATTTGTTGGACGCTCTTCCATGTACTGAGGACACACTGGTGAACAAGATACAAGACCTTGAAGTGTGTGTGTCCTTGTTGACTACTAATTGTCAGTTGGGCCGTGCTTCTGATGGAGGTGCATAATCATAGTGGGACCTACCACCAGCCATAATTGGAGGGGAGAGGAAAGAGAACTAGAAAGATTGACTTGCCTGAATTACATTTGAGTTGAGCTTTAAAGAATGAGGAGAAGCTAACTAGGGAAAAGGAAGAAAGAGCTTTCCAGGCAGTGGGACTGATGTCTGCAAAAGCTGGAAGCATGAACAAATGACCTGTGTCTTTGTTGAACTGATGGGAGGATGAGGCTGGAGAGGTGGACAGAGGCCAGATCCAGCAGGCTGTATTGTATTAGGCAGAGGAATGAAACTGTGGCTGCTGCAAGTAAGACAGATTAGAGGGGGCCAGGAATGGAAGCAGGGAGATAAGGGGCTGTTGGGGCGGTCCAAAGGAGAGAGAATAGTAGCTTGGGCCAGAACGGCCATAAAGGGGTGGTGGATTAAAGTAAAAGTATTGGTACTCCCTAAGAGGATGGAGATGGGAGGAAAGGGTCAGGAGGATGTGCTTCAGATCCAGTCAGTGTCTGGCTAGAAAACCCCAGAGTTCACAAAAACACTGCTTGAGCTAATAAAATCAGCATGGTTTAAGTATACAAAATCAACACACAAAAATCAGTTGTAATTCTCTATCTAGCAATGAACAATCTGAAAAGGAAATTAATAGCTCTATTTACAACAGCATCTAGAAGAACAAAACACATATGAACAGATTTAACCAAGGAGGTGCAAATCTTATACACTGAAAACTACAAACATTGCTAAAAGAAATGAGAGAAAACCAAAGTAAATGGGAAAATATACCATGTGCATGGTATATTGGATTGAAATACTTAATAGTGCATGGATTGAAAGATTTAATAGTGTTAAGATGACAATACTTCCCAAAGTGGTATACAGATTCAATGCAATTCATATCAAAATCTTGATGATGGTTTTTTTGCAGAAATGGAAAAAGTCATTCTAAAATCCATAGGTAATTTCAAGGGATTGAGACTAGCCCGAACGATCTTGAGAAAGAACAAAGTTGGAGGTATCACATTTGCTGATTTCATAACTTCATCAAAATTATAGTAATCAAAATAGTGTGATACTATCATAAGGATAAACATATAGAACGGAATAGAATCAAGAATCTAACAGTAAACCATTACATTTCTAGTCAACTGACTTTTGTCATGAGTGTCAGGAATTTTCAATGGGCAAATTTTTTATTCTTTAATAAATTTTACTGGAAAAACTGGATGTCCACATGAATATATTTTGAACAAATTAGACTCTTATACCATATTTAAAAACTAACTCAAAATGGATCAGAGGTCTAAATTTAGAAACTAAAAATCTCTTAGAGGAAAGCATAAGGGCAAATCTGAATGACCTTAGATTTGTCAAGTATTTCTTAAACATCAAAGCATAGGTAACAAAAGAAAAAATAGTACGATTGAACTTCATTACAATTGAAAATTTTGTGCATCAAAGAACAATACTAAGAAAGTAAAAACAAAACCTAGAATGGGAGAAAAGATTTGCAAATCATATATCTGCAAGCAGGACCTCTCATTGTCATTGGAATGCTTAGTAGGCATCTCATACCAATGTGTCCAAAATTTCTAAACTAGCTTCCGTAGTACTCACCAGTCACTCCTGCATTTTTTCCATCTCAGTTCATAGCAGTGCCATTCTTTCACTTAAACCAAAAACCCTGCAGGCATCTTTCTCTCCTCCCTTTCCCTCACACCCACTTTCATCTAGCAACCCATCCTGTTGGTTCTATCTTCAAAGCATCCTGCAGAATTCAACCATGTCTTACCTTCCCTCCCACCACCCTCTGGCTCTTTGTCCAAGCCACTGTCAGTCATCTCCTGCCTGAATCGCTGCCCTGGCCTCCTCACTGAGTCCCCTGAGTCCCCTGAGTCCCCTGTGACCACCTTGTCCACTGTAGTCTGTCCTCAGCCCCAAAGCCAGGCGATGCCATTAAACCTGAGTGAGAGCGCGGCCCTTGCCTCCAAGAACATTCCGGTTGCTCTTAGCTCACTCAAGGCAGAAGCCAAAGGCTTACAGTGGACCGCCAGGCTGCACATGACCTCCCTAACCTCATTTCCTCCGTTTGCTGCTTACCCTCTCCTCCTGTTCACTCTGCTCCAGCTCTATCAGCCTCCTCGCTGACCTTGAACACACCTAGCCCACTTTTACCTTGGAGCTTGGAAGTACTCTTCTTGGGATGCTCTTTCTACACATTCCTGCCTGGTCTTTACTCCCCCAGGCTTCAGGTCTTTCTCAAAAGTCACCTTCATGGACAGGTGTTCCTTGAGCATCTCCATTGACAAAGTCAACACTTCCTCTGCCTCCATCGTCTTAATCTCCCTTCCCTCCTCTTGTATTTCTTCCTAGTGCTCATTAGTATCCAACATAACTATGTTTCACCTATTTCTCTTGTTACCCTTCTCTCCTACCAGGATTTCAGGATAACAGGGATTTTTGTCTGTTCTGTTCTCCACTGTGTCCTACAGTCTGAAACTGTGCCTGGAATATCTTAAGGATGGATAAATATTAGTTAAAATGAACCTGCATAGAGCTGAACACTGGAACCCAGAAGGAGAGCCTGTGGAGGAAGCGAAGGAAAGTTAGAGCTGGGCAGACCACTCTTTGCCACCCTCTGAGGAGGGCAAAGACAGAGAACATGGAGGCATAGGTAAGATAAGAATTTCAAGAGAAAATGGCTAATGGGCACCACACTGTTAGCAGGAGTTATCTTTAGAAAAAGATGAATTCATGGTTGATGAAGAACATAGAAAAAGAGTGTTCTCAGAGACCTGTGATGGGAGGGGAAGTTGGCAGAGTCACTTTGAAGGGCAACCTGGCAGTGTTGTAAAACTTAACCATATACTGTGGAATCCAGCTGCTTCATTTCTCAGTTACACAGATATATAAAAACTCACACACACACATGGAAGCATGCCCAGGAACATTTTCTGCATTCCTTGGTCATTGTGAAAAATTGGAAACAGCCGGAAAAAGGAATGACTGGATATATTTCAGTTCATCCATCACGTGAAACCCTCTGTGGCAGATCTATGTATACTAACAGGCTGGATCACCACAACATAATGTTAAAAGAATAAAGCATACTCCTGAATTTTATCTACACTATGAGCTCACTTCCATTGAAAAAGACAAAGAGGGGGGGAAGTATTATAAGTGATTTTAAAATTTTTGTCCTTTATTTTCTTTAATTTTAAATGTTTTTAAGAAATCACTAGTCTGCATTACATTTACAATCTGATAAAATTGAGAGTTTAAAATACTTTTTGGCAGCCCAAGTGTTTTAAGAAGCAAGAAAGAAGCCAGGTCTGAGCTTCAATCTGCTGGAAGGTTGGGGGGAAGAACTGGGTGAGTCATCAAATGTACTGATGGGTCTTCACCTCTGACAGTTCAGGTTCAGAAGGTGGGCTGAGGCTACAAATGCAGGAGGTGAGGGAATGGGTGAAGATGAGGAAATAAACAGTCCAGGCAGCTCTTCCCACAGTAGGGGAGGGGAAGGAGTATTTTGAGAAAATTGAAAGGAGAATTTTTATGGTTGAAGGAGACTTGAGTATTGCAAGGTGTCAGCAGGTGGTTGATTTTTAAAGTTAGCTCTGTGTATCCCTGAATGGTAATTTATACAATACTCTCAGCCAATATTTACTGAGGGCCGGTGACAAATTCCAAGGTGTTAATAGAAGCAAAGCAGGGAGCATCTGCTCCCCTTTCTCTGTCCAACACTCCCCCATCACTTTAGACCCAACTCACATGGTGGCATAGGGGTTAAAGAATCCACCTGCCAAATCAGGAGACACAGGAGATGTGAGTTTGATCCCTGGGTCAGGAAGATCCTCTAGAGGAGGAAATGGCAACCCACACCAGTATTCTTGCCTGGAAAATCCACAGGCAGAGGACCTTGGCAGGCTACAGTCCATGGAGAACGCAAAGAGTCAGACAGGACTGAGCACACAGGCACACACAACATCAATGGTGCATTTGCAGACCTGTGTCTGTAAAACCTGCTTCCAAGTTCTGTGTGTTTCTTTAAAAACCATAGTCCTCTATCATTTCCCGAAACCCTGCTGGCTTTGGAAATATGCCTGATCTCTCCTGAACTTACCCTGCCTTAAGCAATCTGAAATGTTTAGTTCTTTCTTCATTACTATGAATTATAAAAGCTCAGCAAAAATGTCCTGACTATGGCCTCAAGACTGATGAAACTAAACTAACTCATACTTAACAAAGAGTGTTAATTTCCCTAGCCACGGTTACCCCTTGCCTGCTGTACTTAAGTCTGCCAAATGACCTGCTACAGAGGAAGAGACTCATGAGAATAGAATCCATCCTTATTTAGCTGAGTTTCTCTGGGTGCCATCCTCCTGTCCCTAGTTATGCATTAACTGCACTTGTTAATGGTCATCGATTTTGCATCTGTGGTGAGCAGAGGAGGGGTAGATGCCTGTTTGTTTGCCTTGACTTCCTAAATCATTTGTAGATGGCACATGGTTCCACCAGTATTGAGAAGAGGGAGGCTTTCCCATATCCCTGCCGTTCACCCAGCTCCCCCATGACAAATGAGATGCCACTTCAAAGAGTCAGGCTATCTGCAGGTGGCCTTACAGCTTCTGGTTGATTTATGCTGGAGTTTAGCCACTGCCTTTGCAAAGACTTTGTTGCATGGAGTATATTTATCTGACCTTTCTTTGAATAGGCAACCATAGCAGCTCATAGGGAAAAAAATGGGTCCTCCATGTAGAGAGGTGGCATTTGGATGAACTGCAGGAATTCTGGTGCTTCTCTGAGTTTGATCCCTTAAGCCTGCACTCGCTGCCCTACTGCCAGGCTCAACACATCCTGGACTGTGGACTGGTGAGAAGGGGATGGGCATCCTGAGGATGAATACACAGTATAGACTCTGAGGTGGCTTATCCCTTTAATAAGATGCAGATTTATGTCAAAAGAGTCCTTGGAGGTGTCCAGTGCCATTATGAGTTTGTTTATTCAATGAGCTGTATTAACAGGCCCCTCCCCACCCTGGAGGGGGATGGATTGTGGTCAGTGAAGGAAGCAGAGAGCTTTATAAGGCAAATTGAAGAAGGACATGCTCTGTTACGAGGACTTCTTCCCGGGAGACTTCATCTGCTCAGATATTGAGGCAGATTCCCATTTTTCAGCACTGCCCTCCACCTCCATAGGGTGGGTTATTTGGTGGATCAAACCCTATGTCTTAGGTACACCTTGCATGAAAAGAGTGCCGCTGTTCTCATAGAGCAAACCCCAAATCCAGATGCTCATGTGAGGCTTGGTCAGATGTGCCCTGCGGAGAAAGGACCATGTCACATTGTGTGTGGGGGGGGGGGCGGGGGGAGGTACATCTTCCCAGATCTCCTGCAAAGCCTCTTGTCCCTTTCCTGTGGTCACAGGGGCCAGCCCCAGACAGAATCTGTGTTCCTTCTCTCCAGACCCCCAGGCTTTGGAGAGCTGGTGTTGGGGGTTATTAGGATAGGGGTGGGGTGTAAGATGAGAGTGCAGAAGCTGTTTTGTTCCTGATTTTTTCCAGTCAAATTGAACTACATGTCCCAGGGGTGTCTTCAGACAATGCACAGCCAGGGTCGTAGAAGACAAATTTCCTCCTACCTACCAATTTGTAGCTTTTCCCTCTCAGGCTGTGTCTCCCTTCACCTGAGCAGGCACTGCCAGGGGGCATAGGATCCCCAGAAAACTGTCTATAGACAGTTTTTATGCCTTTATGCCCTAGAAAATCCACTCACTATTCCAAACTGGGTGGACGGCTTCATTTAAATAAATCCCTGGTCCAAACCGAGTGCCTCCCTCCAAAGATGTTTAAGAATAAGACACTGAAATAGAATACAATAATACAAATATGCTAAAGATGTGGGTGTTCTGTAGAGAGAGATGTTAGCAGACTCGAGGACAATTAGGGCCACCCCTGGGTGCCCAAGGAGTGCTATCTTGTTAATGGAGATCCTCGCTGAGTTGCTTTCTGAAGTTCCTTTCCAGAAGTGAAATTAAAATCACACAATCAAAATGTTCACAGTTGGGGCTGGATGTTCCTGAACTGATTAAAAGATGAAGAAGTGGACACGCCAACATTTGGAAACAGCAATTGTCTCTGTAATTAAATGCAATTAACTATCATAACTGTTAGCTTTTCTCCACATAGGCCTGATTGAAATGTTGAAACTTTGAAAAACATGCCCTCCTCCCATCTGATTTCTCTTTCCATCCTCACCAAAATTTTCACCGACAAAGACTGCAAATGTGATGATGTAGTGCACAAACTCCCACATGGAGGTTATAGTGTGAAAGTATCAGGACCTGGGGAGAAATGTGTTGGAGAAAACAGAGCTCCAGGATGCCCCATGTACACCATTTCTCCTAAGCCCATATACCCTTGCATTTCCATAATAAAGAATACATTTTTTATAAAATAAATAACAATTTTCCCATAGCTGACCTCTAGGGAAGGCACTGGTGATTATAATAACTAAAATGTAGATTCCAAAGGGGAGAATAAAAATGTAGTCCATTAAAAAAAAAAAAACATTTTTTTCTCATTATTATTAAAAAGACTAGAATATGCTAAAAGAATTTTTTTTTAAGTTTCTCATAATCTCACCACAGAAATAACCCCTGGATAGTTTTATTTTTCCTAATATATACACATACTTTAATTACACTGAATACATATTTTTAATACATCTTAAAATGTAACCCTGATTTTTTGCTTATATTACAAATTTTTTCTTGCTATTAAAAATTCATAGACATTTTTAAATGTCAAACTGAAATCTTATCTTATCATCTTTACCACCATTTACTTGACCATCTTCTTATTATTGGGCATGTAAGTAATTCAGAGTATTTCATTATTAATATTACATTCCTACAGAAAGGAGCTTATTGTTGTAAAAGTCTGCCTGTATTTCTGATTTTTTTTTGGTAAGTGCAATTTCCTGGGTCAGAGATTAGAATCATTTTTTTAATTCTAATTTTTGAGGCATTTGAGACTTTTGACATTTACTTCCAAATTGCCCTCCAGAAAGGTGACCAAATGATATTTCCATTATCAGGATAAGAATTTACCTAATTTCCTATATCCCCTCCAACACAGTATCACCTATTATGAGGAAGGCTCAAAAACTCTTCCTAGAGAAAGCTCATATTTTCACTGATCATGTGGCTCTGGTGCAAATCACAACCCAAACCAACATTTCTCAGGTCTCTGGTTGTGCTTCCCAGCAGAGGGGAGGGCATGTCAGGCTGTACCAGCAGGGCACCCACCAGGGATGTTGAGTAACGGCCATGAACAACTGGAGAGCAGGCCGGTCGCTGCCATCCATGAAGGCATCTGCATGTCAGGTTCATCTGTCCCCATGGCACTCACATCCTTCTCCATCTTTTCCAGCTGTGTTGGCTGAAGATGGACACCAGGTCCTCCTAGAGAAGATAGAAGACTGGAATGTGGTGGAACTCATGGTGAATGGAGAAGTTGTCTTCCGCTGTAACATCAAAGACCTGGAGTTTGGTAAATCCTTCCCACCAGCATTTTGCTTTCTCTAGGGCACTTCCATTTCTAGTTTAGTAGTCATTGTTTTCTGCCCAGATTCAAAGTGGGTTTCTTTCTGAGTTTTAAACTCTTACTCTGTCATGCATGAATGAGTGCATCCTAAACCACACACAGTAAAGTGCTTGATGCTCTGGGCTTCTTCATGGGACACTGGGAATAGAAGAGGATTGGAAAGAAAATGAATTTTTAGCTCTAGACTACAATTGGGACTGTGTGCATTTAGGAGGAATAGGTTGTTTTGTGTTGTTGCTTTTCATTTTAATAATGTGCATTTTATTATTACTTGCTTTGAAAATGATTTTGGTTGCATCTGATTATTTTATCTAGGCTGGCTAAGACAATTAGAGTCAATATGCTGGCAGTGCATGGCATCATCAGTTACAGTCTATGGATTTCTTTGCCCCAGAGAACTTTTGGCTTAGCAGGCTGGCATTGTGCATGCCTCACTCCGCTCAAAGTAAAAGCTTTCCCAATACACTAATACTCTATTAAAGGCTAGTTAACAATTTACACTCCTGGAACCTTCACAAATGTAGAAGCTGTGTGTATGTCTTCTGTGACATGACATTGTATAATATATAAAGCTGGCTAAAAGAAAATTATATCTATGTCCCTAGGAGGTGACGGTAAACTAGACCCACTGTGCGAAGAGGCCAGGATAGCTTTACTAAATGCCTACTGATCTCCTCGTGGGAACAGGCATCTCAAGTCAACAGAAGAGCAGCTGCCTCCGGCCACTCTGCAGTTCAAACAGAAGCAGCCATTCCGGGCCTTGGACGCCAGGCTGAGACAAGACAACACCCTCTGTCCTTCAGCCTGCACAGCATAGGTTTCTCACCTGGCTGCAAGGAAACGGAGCCCACAAAAATAATAAAACCTCACCATTTGCAGCGTCTCTCAATCTCAACCCATAGGGAGAGTGAGCCCTCCAATATCAGGTACACATTGAGCTGAAGGAAATAATAAAATGCAATCTAATAACAAAACGCCATCCCTTGCTAATAACGCAAAGTTGCCAGAAGCATCAGAGGCTCCACTCTACAGTAAGTGAAGAGCTAGGAAGTGATAAAATTAAAGATAAGGCAGGAAGGGGATGGTGGGAGGGAGGATACTGGGCTTTGAAAATCTGAACCAAAAGTTAATGTCAGTATTTGGAAACCTGCCTATTCCTACAGGTTGACTTCTTGCTCCCAGTGAAGTAATATTCAACATGCTAATATAAAATTACCTAATGGCAAATATTTAGTTTTTTTCCTTTAAAACAAGCAAATGACCTCTGCCTTCTTTTGCATTAGCCAGACTCACAGGCTGGTCTGTAGAGGGCCCAAAAGAGGCCAGGACAGAAGGGGAAAGTGGCTCCCCATTCCCTCTGGAGGAAAACAAAGTCGGTGAAATTAAAGAAGAGTTTTAACTTTGGTTAGTGCCAACTCAGCCATGTCAAAATGGTGTTCATTTTCCTTTAGGCTCTATGTACCAACTGTAGCATGCATTCTTAGCTGTAGAGTAAAGGAGAGGGGAGAAATGTAGACATTGATCTAACGATGTCAAACGTGAGGTCATGGTAAGAAAGCATCACTGAAGAAAGCTGGATACAGAAGACTCTGGGCACTGTGTTGAAAGAGAAGGGCTTTCAGGACCTGCAATAGGCAGCAGCTGGCTCTAGGTACACATCCCACAGGGAGGCGGCCACCCTGCTCCCTACAGCCTCACTGCACCTGGAGAGCCATCCTTCCCATTGCTCCAGGGAAACTCAACCCCCACCTGCACCCCAGAGCTTCAAAGGAGTCTGGGGCTCCATGAAACCACTTGGGCAAGTTCTTTCTCGCATGTGATGAAATAGGGGATAAAATTTTCATTTTCAGCCCAAGCCTCACTTATCAGATTTTATTCAGAGATGATGAATTGCTTAGGACTCTGGAAATATTTAATCATCTTTGCTGTGAACCTGAGACTAAAAACAAGTCTTCTTCCTGGTGTCTGATGCCAGTTGTCACACATCTTTTGTAACTCTGGATTTAGTTCCTTTTTTCTCAAAGATCCTTTTAAGTGGTTGTTTTCATACAAACATTTCACTACAAGAGAAGTACATTTTCATTACAGTAACATGAAACAATACAGGTAAAGTAAACTTGATAATTTTGGTTTATTTCAATCTGGATTTCTTCCAGTTGTATCTGGATGTTCATTAAAAGCTAGACATACATAGAAATGGATTTCACCAATTTGGGATCATGCCATATATATCCATTACGTATCTCTTTTTTAAACTTTACATTTTATGTTGAACTTCCTTCCTTGTGACTAAAACATTTGCTGACTATCTAAGCATTCTATCTTGAATCGGGAAATTTCTTCCTGCTTGAATAGTGATTCCCACTTTCACTGCCAAAACTTCTTAGGCTAAGAAATAAAATTGCAGGCTTTCCCATCTGCATTTGCTGTGGTAGCTTCAGCTCCTCAGTGTTAACTGGTACAAGGGGTCCACTCTGCAGTCACCTTGCCCTCCGCTGACACACCCCCACCCTGGTTTGTATTTGTGTCTCAGAGCAGCCCCCACCCTCCCTACACCCAGCCTGCTTTCCCTTTCCCATGGCCAGAGCAGAAAGGCTGGTAAGGGGGAAATTACACAAGAGTCTAAGAAAAAAAAAAAAAATAAGTGCAGACAGCTTCTGGGAGATACATGTGCCCAGGATGCTGTGCTCCAAGTTAGATCAGAGTTACATGATATATGAATGGGCATTATCATGAAGAATCCCAGGGTTACTTCTGGGTGGTAGGTTTGGAGAGTTGGGTGGGGTGGGTGGAGAGGGGAAGCCTGCAGGACTATCATTCCTTTATGTGCATGTTTTCAGAGATGGAATTGATTTTTATTTTGCATATGAGTATATGCGTGCATGCGTGCGTGCGTGCGTGTGTGTGTGTGTGTGTGTGTTGGGGAGCAGGGTACTTTTCAAATAAGCATTTAAAATGAAATCAAGAATTTGGCATAGAGGTGGTCTGTCTGTATAACCTAGCTCTGTCATTGATTAAAAATAACTTTTCCTTTGGAAATGGAATCATTTTTTGGTCTAAGGAACCGTGCCCTTATCCTTCTCCTCTGCCTCCCTCTGACTCCCATCTTCAAAAGATATCTCCCTGCAGTGACACAGGAAACATGGCTTGTTCCCAATTGAAGACAAAAGTACTCCATGCTTCAACAAACTAGACATTTGGACTGCCTTTTAGTGCTTTTAAAGTGCCTCTTAATTAAATCACATTTAAGTTTTGTAAGACGTCGAATCAATTTCTTTCCTATTGGAATGTGTAAAGAAAGTGTCTTTTCAGACTAAAGTTAGAAGCATAGAACTATCTTATTAGTTTTGTAATGAAATTTGGAATTGCTAATCTTTTTTCATCTAGCCTTAAAATTTTTAAAAGAATGGAGATTTTTTAGGGGCCACCTGAGGCTGCTTCTGCCTGGCTGTACTTGCTGTCTTGGTGAGTTCACCCTTTAAAACTTTGACAAGCAAAACTTGTCAAGAGAGCTGTGTCATAGATCAGTTTCCAAGGCCAGCTGCTGGGCTGTTTGAGCAGTGAAAGATGAGAAGGACTCCGAAAGACTCCAAAGTATCCCGAACACCCTTGGAAGCAACATAATATTCTGGGATTTGATGCTCAAATCTTCCCACACCAAACATTCATCCCCAACTTGTGGGCTTTGTAGGACCACGAAGGAGAATAATTCAAATGACAATGCGTGTACACCCTGTGGGTGCAAGGTTTCCAGAAGAAACACATGGTTGGCCAGATCCAGGCAAAAGACGAAAAAATGCTAGCCCTGGTCACTGGCAATAAGGCATGAAGAAATCTTCTCCCCAGATCTTTTAAGCAGTTCGTGTTGGTATTGTACAGTCAGTCAGTCATGTCCAACTTTTTGTGACCCCATGGACTGCAGCATGCCAGGCTTCCCTGTCCTGGTTCATGGGAAAGTGTCTATTTGTGGTTACTTGAATGGTAGTGTGATCGAGGGCGTCAGTCCTGGATTTGAACTAAAGTTCTGAGTCTGGAGCGGAAACCCATATTCTCCTCCGTGGGGGCCAGAGGTCACCCTGTGAGAGGCGAGAGTCAGGGCAGGCCAGGCTGAGTGGCACTAAGCTGGTAAAAGGAAATAGCAGGGCAAAGAGCTCAATGACCGCCCTTGGCCCTGGCTTCCCCTCCCTGGGGCAGAGGGGCAGGACGCTGCGCAGGGTGTCGTTTCCTGATAGGAAATGTTCCTTCTCTAAGTGAGGTATTGGACAACCTTTGCCTGCATAGCTGTGGATCTTTTTGAAAGTGCGTGTTCCTGTTTGAGCGGTTGTTCAGAAGAGGTCAAGAGCTGAAATCCAGAAGAATGGTGTCAACTCCTTTTAATGCAGGAGTAACAAGTTGGGGGGAAGCTCAGTCCAGCCTGCATTATTGATGTCTTGAATATATAATATGTAAAACCAAAGACTCTGACTCCAGGGATGCACTGATATTGTGGTCTCCTGTCAGGAGTTTCTGGGCTCCATTCCTTGGGTTAGACATACAAAAATTATTTGCCTGTATAGGCTTAGGGCTTCCCAACGAACCTGCCTGCTTTGATCCCTGGGTGGGAGGATCCCCTGGAGTAAGAAATGTCAACCCACTCCAGATCCTTGTCTAGGGAATCCTGTGGACAGAGGCGCCTGGGAGACTATGGCCCACAGGCACACAAAGAGTGGGACACAACTGAAGCAACTTAGCACACACCACACATATCCATTTAATAAAAACCCACACTTAACGTGATTCCAGCTTGTGCTTCATCCAGTCCAACATTTCTCATGATGTACTCTGCATGTAAATTAAATAAGCAAGGTGACAATATGCAGCCTTGACATACTCCTTTCCTGATTTGGAACCAGTCTGTTGTTCCATGTCCAGTTCTAACTGTTGCTTCCTGACCTGCATACAGATTTCTCAGGAGGCAGGTAAGGTGGTCTGGTATTCCCATCTCTTTGAGAATTTTCCACAGTTTATTATGATCTACACAGTCAAAGGCTTTGGCATAGTCAATAAAGCAGAAATAGATGTTTTTCTGCAACTGTCTCGCTTTTTCAATGATCCAGCAGATGTTGGCAATTTGATCTTGGTTCTTCTGCCTTTTCTAAATCCACCTTGAACATCTGAAAGTTCACGGTTCATATACTGTTGAAGCCTGGCTTGGACAATTTTGAGCATTACTTCACTAGAGTGTGAGATGAATGCAATTGTGTAGTAGTTTGAGCATTTTTTGGCATTGCCTTTCTTTGGGCTTCCTTTGTGGCTCAGCTGCTAAAGAATCCACCTGCAATGCAGGAGATCTGGGTTCGATCCCTGGGTTGGGAAGATCCCCTGGAGAAGGGAAAGGCTACCAACTCCAGTACTCTGGCCTGGAGAATTCCATGGACTATATAGTCCATGGTGTCATAAAGAGTTGGATATGACTGAGTGACTTTCACTTTCACTTTGGTTCATCCTGGTGGCTCAGATGGTAAAGAGTCTGCCTGCAATACGGGAGACCCGGGTTCGATCCCTGGGTCAGGAAGTTCCCCTGGAGAAGGAAATGGTAACCCACTCCAGTATCCTTGCCTGGAAAATCCTGTGGATGGAGGAGCCTGGCAGACTACATACCATGGGATTGCAAAGAGTCAGACATGACTG